GAGGTGAAGCTGAAATATTTTCTATCTGATAATAATTTGGCCTTTAAATGGAGGAAGATCAAACTGAATCACATCTGAATGACCCGACTGGTCGACCAGGAGAACAATCAGTCGACTGTTAGGACCGGTTCAGTCCAACCTGCACCCACCTCCAGATGAACACAGAACCCGACTGTTTTAAAGCTGTGAGCTCTTTGTTCTGCCCGACTGATCGTTTATCTCATTGAACTGATTAAATGTTGTTTCTTTTCACCTCAGACGACCTCCGCGCTGCAGATATTAACTGAAGATCATAATTCCTGCACTTGAGCTTTTATAAAATGACCCAATCTGGACCTTAAGAGCAGCGGATCGCCTCCTTCGCGCTAACGAGGAACAAGGAGGCTGATTGCAGCTGCGGCGCCAACGAGCCTCCGAGAGAGGTTTCATCTGAAAGAGTCTCGATTTAATTAGAAGTGAAAGTCTTCGCCGTCGCCTGAGTGTCACTTTGAAGTTAAACGGGTGAAAACGCGGGAGAGCGTCAGAGTGTTTATCTGGGAGGTGAAGCTAACTGCTGCTAACCGCTACGACCTGCAGTGACCTCTGACCTCTGACCTCGCTGCTGTTTCCTCCAATCGGAGGAGGCGGCGTTTCTTGTGACCAGCGTCGCTTCGGCTGGATGGATCACCGTAATCTGGATCACGGCGGCGCAGCACGAACGAGCGGTGAAGCTGATGATGTTTGCACACACGCGTGTCCGTGTGGCCTAACCGTGTTGGAGCGTGTTCCCTGTGCGTGTTTACCTCCTCCAGATGAGCAGCCCGACGCCCATCGACAGCAGCATGATGAGGGCGGCCACCGACACCACCACGATGATCACCACCGGGCTCTGCTCGCTGGACGCCAGCGCCACTGCAACAACAACAACAACAACAACAACAACAACATCGTCATGAGCACGCAACACGCCACAAACACCAGAACACGTGTAGAGGTCAGTCAGAGGGACGAAGACCAGCAGATGAATCAGTTAAAGGCTGTAAACAGACAGTCTGAGTCGCCTGCTGGTTGGTTTACTGATTTATTTGGAATCAAACTAAATTCTCTGCAATAGTTTTCGGCTAAATTAAGAGAATTTTCTATATTTTTAGGTTTAGTCAGATTTCCACATGGAGACGACGTGGAAGCAGTTTGTAACTTCACATAAACGCCCGATCACACTTGGACCTGTTCTACGGCTCTGATCCAGGTTGTTCTCTCCTGACCCGATCCTTGCTGGAGCTGTATCTGCTCTCAGATGTACGTCGCTGTGGATGAAAGCTTAGAAAGAAAAACAAAACACCAAACTGTTCAGGTGCAAACATTAACCTGATGGCTGATATAATAATGTTGCATCAGCTTCATATTTTGTGTAATTTAAAGTCAGATTGTTGCATAAATTAGTGTAACTTCATGAAATCAGCTCATAAAACTTAATTTTCCATCATCTTTAAGTCAGAAAATGTAAGTTGGAACGACTATTTTTCTGAGCAATCAGCTTAAAAACTGGTGTTAAAGCATTTAATCAGTAAATAATTAACAAACGTCCTTGATTACGGAGGAAAAGCTGATTCCTGTAACTCAGTGCAGTTTGCTGGTTGAACATAATTTCATCAGAAGTTTTCACAACTCAAAGATTGATTGTTCTGTTCTGTAGTTTTGTTGAGCCCAAACATTATTATTACTTTTTTTTTTACCGTTTTACTTAATTAAATGCATCCCTGCTGGATAAATATTCTAATTTATTGATTTTGGTTGCATCAACTTCAAATTTTGTGCGATTAAAAGTCAAATTTGATTCTAAACTAAATTCCAGTCGAGGTAACTTCTTCATTTTGAGTCACTTCCTCTGAACATGTTGGATAATTTCACACTTTTACGACTTTATTTTGACACTAAAACAAAATTCCTCAGACGAGGAGTTCTTTGTTTCGCTTTCTAACTCACCAGCTGGTTAAAAAAGCATCTTGTATTTAAAAAAAAGACTAAATTAGAAACTGACCGTCTGATTTTCAACTTTCCAGCGTTTCTTGAACTTAGCGTTTGTGAATCTGGGTTGTGTTTGAACAAATTGTCCGAATTTGATGATTAAAATCCATTTTTTTAGAGTACAAGTCTTAATTAAAAACCTTCCATAAAATCAATCATGTATTAAACACATCATGGAGCCACGACTGTTAATTAATATGTCAGTTCATTAGTAATTAAGGAAGAAAATGTTTGCTGATTAACGAACATCGTCTCCTTTAAATCAGAACAAATCTGTGTTTGGTTCATATGAATGAGCTGAAAACGGCTGATTATGGAATTAAACCTGTGAAAAACAAACCCGCTGTGCAGCTGAGACGTCTCAAAACAAAGATGTTCAACCTGAGCAGGAGGAGGAATAAAATAAATCTGGTTTGAGACGCAGCCCTCAGGTGTGAACTCTACAACTGACCTCCTTCTCTGGGAAATAATAAAAGCTTCATAACAGACAGTTCACGTCTGAAACAGACCAGAGACGCCACATCACAGACGCTTCACAGCTTCCTGCTAGAATCTGGGATCTTCAGACAAAATGCTGGGAGCTGCCGAGGAGGGACCGAGCAGGAGGAGAAGGAGGAGAAGGAGGAGAAGCTACTCACGCTCGCCCAGCGTCTGCAGCTCCAGCGGCGAACTGAACGCTCCGTAGTCGATGGGCGGCGGCGAGGAGGACGATGAGGAGGCCGAGGAGGAGGAGGAGGACAGCGACGAGGCCGAGGAGGAGGAGGAAGTAGAAGAGGAGGAGGAGGAGAGCTGGGAGGAAGACAAGGACGAGGAGGGCGCCGGCGTGGAGAAGGGCCGGATCAGGAAGACGTAGGTGGTTCCAGGCTTCAGGTTGTTGACGCTGATGCGAGTGGCGGCGGTCTTCACCGTGGAGTAGCTCTGGTCCTTCTGCTCCTGCACCAAGAGACACCAGAAGACCAGAGGAGGAGCGTGAGGAGGAGGAGGAATTCATTCAGTTTGTAACGTGCTAGACGGTTTCTGAACAAAGCAGTCTCTCAGGTTGGGAGCCGAGGACTTCTTTGTTTTTAGTTTTATTAATTTTTTTAACTCTCTGAACCACAAACCAACCAGCTGGAGGGAAAGTCGGCTTGTTGTTTTCAAAAAGAGCAAAAAATTATAGAATTGATCTGAAACAGAAACCAGAAAACCTGACATGAACGAGCAGATTTTCAGCTTCACCAAATCCAAGCTTTAAACTGTGACATTTCATTTACTTCGTCTTATTGAGTCAATATGAGTGAAGAGACGCCCAAAAACCAGCAGCCAGCAGGAAGCTGAAAGGAGCCTTATCTTTACAACGAAAAAGAAAAAAAAGAAGCTAAAATTAAACCATTTAGCAGAAACAGAAACGTAAAAAAACAGTGAGATTCTCGACTTTCCAACAGTTCCTGAACGCAGCGTGCGTCACTTTGGGTTTTGTTTTTGAAAATTAACCAAATCTAAGCTTAAACTTGTGATATTTCATCTAAATGTGTTTTTGAGCCATTATAAGTAAATAGAAGCCCAAAAACCAGCAGTAGAGTTAAAAGGTGATCTGTAAAAAAACAAAAAAAAGAAAAGAACCAAAATTACACTATTCATCAGAAGCAAAAACAGCAAAAGACAAAAAACAAAAAAAAGAAAGAAAAAAGAAAAAAAGTGAAATTTTCAACTCTCCAACAGTCCTTGAAGGCAGCATGTATCACATTCGGTTTTGTTTTTGAAAATTAACCAAATCTGAGCCTCAAATTGTGAGATTTATTTAAATTGTTTTGTCTTTTTGAGCTACTACATGTAAAGAGAAGTTCAAAAAAACAAAAAACTAATAAACAAACAAAAAAAAACACAGGTGGGTTTAAAATGCATCTTATTTTTAATTTATTATTTTTTAAGTTACCATTTAGGAGCAGAAACTGAAAATAATCGTGAGATTTTCAACTTTCCGACACTTCTTGAACTCATCCTGTGTGACTTTTGGTTTTGCAGGAAAAATGGCTCCTATTCAGGATTATTTCATAAAAAATCACTTTGTTCCTGTTTAAAGATTTGCTAAAACATGAGAACTAGACAGAATCTGAACAGACTCTCTTAAAATTGTGATTTTTAATCAAAACCACTTTATTCTGAGTGTCTCAATTAAAAATCTGCTAAAAAAAGAAGCGTGTGCCGTCACCTGATTCTGTAAAAACTAAAAAATTCAGTTCTCGTCGCTGCAGCCAGAAAGTTCTGAACGATTCAGCCGAGACCAACAGTGAGGTGAGAAAAACTCAGCGAGCTTTCAGGTGAACTTCAGCAGCGTTCACACAGAGTGGAGTCAAAAACATGAAAGCTGTGGAGTCAACGTTACAGACACCACAGACACCAAACACACATCTAAATACAAAATAGATGTAAAAAAATAAATAAAACAGAAAAGACATGTATGTACATTCATTCAAATGTCATGTTGTTTCCATGTTGGTGTGTTTCCACAGAGCTGCAGGACTTTAAAGTTAAAAATGAGCCACAGTGATGAGAAACGAGACGACGAGCAGCCGGACGCTCCGTCAGAGGGTCGACGGACGATCAGGAAACGATGACAAATCCAGAGAACAGCAGCGTGACTCTGGTCATTAGTGACAAATGTGAGAACGAGTCACGTTCTGCACAATCAGACGAGGAGCTAGCAGGCCTTAGCGTGACCGCTGGTCGTGTGATGCGTTCGCTGTCGCGTGTTCGCTGCGGCTCCAAATCTGTTGAAGCATGACGTGTGCCGTAAGCATGTTGTGTGTTTGCATGTCGATGAGATGATCTGAAACGAGCTGTGAGTCGGCTTTGACGGTAAATCTGATTGATGCTGATCACGGAGACGCATCATCGTCTTCATCATCATCATCTTCATCATCATCATCATCATCGGTTGATGGACCGACACACAATCCCACACAAACAGTGATTCTGGAGATTCAGTGACTAAAACAATAGTTCTTTGTCTCGCTTTTTAACCCACCAGCTGGTTAAAAAGGCATCTTATTATTTTAAAAATGACTAAATTAGACCATTGATCTGAAGCAGAAACTAAAACAATGACATCAGATTTCCAACTTTCCAGCGTTTCTTGAACTTAGCGTTTGTGAATTTGGGTTTTGGTTCAACAAATTACCCAAATTTGATGATAAAAAAATCACTTTTTTAGGATCAAACTTTATTAAAAATTTGCCAAAATTCTAACAAGAAACCCCCAAAACCAGCCACGCATGTAAAAGGCATCTTATACTTAAACAAAAAATGACTAAATTAAACCATTAATCTGAAGCAGAAACTGTAAAAACTACAAAAAGAAAAATGTCTGATTTCCAACTTTCCAGCGTTTCTTGAACTTAGCATTTATGAATTTGGGTTTCGATTGAACAAATTGCCCGAATTTGATGATCAAAATAATTAAAACTCTGAAAACATTAAACACATCATGGAACCAGAGCCCTAATTAAAAAGGCTTCTTTTAGTTTAAAAATTCCTAAAATTCTACCATTTATCAGAAGCACAACTGTAAAAACTGAACAAAATCTTCATATTTTCATCTTTTTAACACTTTTTGAACTTAGTGTTTGTAAATTTGGGGTTTGTCTGGAAAATTAACCAAACTAAAGCTTAAAATCCTGATTTTAATTAGTTTGTTCTGCTGCTGCACTAAAAGGTGAGTTTAAAAGAGATTTAATATTTAAAAAAATAAATAAATCAGCAAAATTACACCATTGATCATAAACAGAAACTGTAGAAACTGAAAAAATAATCAGATTCTGAACTTAAAGACACTTCTTCAACATAGCAGGTGTGACTTTTGGCTTTATCGGGAAAATTAACCGAACTAAGCTTAAAATCTTGATATTGAATCAAAAATCACTCCGTGTTTTTTTTTAAAAACACATAAATACTGAAGTCAACACACGTAACAAGAATTTAAAAAAACCACGGTGGGTTTGATGGAAAACTATCTTTTGAATAAATATGCAAAAATACCACATTTATCAGAAAAAAAACCATTTGATTTCCGACTTTCAGACGTTTCTTGAACTCATCATCAACGACTTTGTGTTTTTAAGCAAAAATAAATCAAATTTAAGCTTTAAATTGGTATAGTTAATCAAAAATCACATTGTTCTGCATGGCACACTTTAAAATTTGCCAAAAAGAGAACCAGAATCTGTAAAACTCCCATCAGCCTTTGCTAAATAACCAATGCTAACACGCTAAGAAGCTACGCTAAGTGTTTTCTCACCTAAAAACATCAGGGATTCACCCTCCTAACGCCGTTCATGTGACCGTGCAGATGAAATAAAGACGAACTCAGAGTGAAATAAGAAGTCATGAACTGAGAAACGAAGCTGCTGCAGAGGAAACGAGCAGCTCGGAGCTCGGAGAAGACGTTTAAGGAGAAAAACACCAGAAACAACCTTCAGAGACGAAGCCTCCACGTTTTAATCTGCTTTACTCATCATCAGTCACACCGCTGCCAACAATGTGCTATTTGTTCTGATTCAGCCGTCTGATTAATGCTCGTTCCAGTGTTTTTAACGAGCGCTTCAGTTATTCTGACGTCAGTAAACAGAGTCTGGAGCTCCAAAGGAAAGAGACTGAACGTGATCTTTTCATTTCATGGCCGATTCTCCTCCTACATCTCCCATCCTGTGTTTATTCTGCTTTCCTTCAGCACCTCGTCCCGCTTTCATTCATTTCTTTCTACGAGCGTCTTTCCACTGAATCATCTGCTGCCTCCGTCTCCTCCAGAAGACTTTTCTGAACCAGGTTCAGAATCCGAGTTCCAGAGTTTCACTGCGTCGGGCAGCGAAAAGAAACCAGACGAGTCGAAAAACCGCCAGAATGTAAAGACGGAAAATAAACAGAACGCAGAGAAAGAAACGAGCAGAGACAGAAAACAGAAGATAAAAAACATTTAGGAAAATAAAAGAAAGTTCACAAGACATTAAAACTAAATAAAAATTATACAGAGAATGAAACATACTGGAAACCAGTTTAAAGAGGTTGAAATATACTGGGAACCAGTTTAAAGAGGCTGAAACAGACTGGGCAACCAGTTTAGAAAGGCCAGAACATACTGGGAACCAGTTTAAAGAGGCTGAAACATACTGGGAACCAGTACCAAGAAGCTAAAACAGTCTGGAAACCAGTTTCAGGAAGCTGAAACATACTGGGCAACCAGTTTAAAAAGGCTGAACCAGACTGGGCACTAGCTTACGGAGACCAAAACATACTGGAAGCCACTATGAAAAGGCTGAAATATACTGGGAACCAGTTTAAAGAGACCTGAATCATTCTATGAGCCAGTACGAAGAGGCTGAATCATTCTAGGAACCAGTATGAAGAGGCTGAAACATACTGGGAACCAGGTTTAAGAGACGGAAACATACTGGGAACCAGTTTAAAGAGGCTGAAACATACTGGGAACCAGTACCAAGAAGCTAAAACAGTCTGGAAACCAGTTTCAGGAAGCTGAAACATACTGGGCAACCAGTTTAAAAAGGCTGAACCAGACTGGGCACTAGCTTAAGGAGACCGAAACATACTGGGAGCCACTATGAAAAGGCTGAATTATACTGGGAACCAGTTTAAAGAGACGTGAATCATACTGGGAACCAGTTTAAAGAGACCTGAATCATATGAGGAACCAGTATGAAGAGGCTGAATCATACTGGGAGTCAGCGCTACCAATGCATGTGGACTTTGCAGATGGAAATGCTGTTTATTTGCATGCAGGGTGACGTCCAATCACACTCCAGACACGTGAAGACGCTTCCCGACGGCAGGTGTGAACAGAACCACGCTGACCTCTTCCACATGCCTCTCATCGCCCACCTCCATTCTGAATCCTCCCCTCCTGTTTCTAAAGACGTGGGAGTGGAGCGGCGAGGAGCAGGGCTTTATTAAATATGGTGGAGCACAGAGAAGAGGAGGAGATGTGAAAATGGGTGAGAGTGTGACACAGGCGAACACAAAGACCTGGCGTCGCCTCCCAATGCAGCATGTGAAAATGGAGGAGCGTGAGTGTGACAGCTGTGCTTTACGTGCATGACAGATTCACTGTGAAGACGGCGGCTGCTGATGGGCGGCCACCGTCTGACTAAGTGCCGCGTTAAACGAGCGTGATGAGGCCGACGAAATTACAGCAGTTATCCATAAAAGTGAAAGAAAATGTAGCAGTAATATGGATTCAGGTTTACACATAATTGGCTCCTGCAACGCTCGGAAAAATAAATGACTTTGGTTCAAGACAATGATTTAATCTTATGGAAAAAAAGAAGTATCTCTGCTTTCTCAATTTTATTATTACAGTGCCAATCAGGACACAAGTCATCCAAGGACAGTAAATCATCAAGACCAGAGATGTTCTGATCAAGTTTTCACCCGATTCGAAACCGTCTTCCTCGAGCATGCACACTTTAAGTACATTAAAGTTCCTACAATAACTCCAGCGATCGTTCTTCACAACTGAATAAGTAAAAAGCTGCATTTCTGCCTCCATGTTCTGTAGGTGGAACCTTGTTGTGAAGCTGCAGTCGAGCGCCGTCTGCAAACTGTTTTTAAAAGATGACAAAAACCTGTATTTTCTAAAAATGACACTGATGGCCAATATCTGACTAAAGAAGCTGACTTGTAGCTATTGTGGGGGTTTAGCAGCAACAGGCACCACGACAAAGACTCCTGTGATGCTTAATGACGTCTGACCAAAGTGAAAACAAACCAGCACAGGATTCCTACATCACAGCGGCCGAAAATATGAGTCCATTGACTAAAACGGGAACAAAAGCACGAGACAAACAGGATTATTGCTTTATAACGTCGTAGGTTACCAGGAAAGGTGCTCAACTCTACCAACTCTCCGTGTGTGACAGCAGTGTGCCAGCCGAGGTAGACGAAGGATCGGGCTGATCAGATAATAAGATCTCCTGATTGAGACCTCCCAAGTCAAGACCTGACAGCATTACAGAAAGAACACCCATCAGTCGTCAACCATGAACCCCGTCGGTCCGTCTCCACATGAGCAGGACGGCCCGACATCTGTTGTTGCTCACAAAGATTTCATGAGATCAGACTGGAGGTGATGGTCTTGTTCGTATCTGGAATTCGCAGCAGCTTCCTTCCTGCGTGGCTTTTGTCTTTTTCTACTCTCCCTGCCTGCGATCGACCATGCCTGGAAATCTTTTTCCATAAAACACACGAGAACATTCCTGTTGCACGCATCTGATCTTTACAGAAAGACTCAAGCAGGCATCAAGTCCTGCACGATCAAGATCTTGAGCAAAATGTGATGCTTTCAGTGTCTGAGTTGATGTTCTGAGGTTGAGTGTTTGCATTCTTTCCGTCAGGTTCTGCACACTGAGCATCACTCCTTATAGCACTCGGCGTCGAATTAGTATGATGCACCGAAGCACAAAGTTTCCCGAGTCTCTGCTGTCTGCGTGAATGTCAGCGACCCACTCCTGCCTCGTGTCTGCTGCGACTGGAGGGATCTCCGAAGTTTAAAAGCCCCGAGGCTGCCATCAGGGTTATCACAGCTTAAGATGTAAAAGGTCGGACGGGCCCGAACACCGACCAGAGGTGCGGGGTTGAAGGAGTCGTTTCGGAGGCAGCGGGGATCTAATTAAACGCACTTTTCAGTCGTGCTGTGGGGAAAAAGTGGAAGCCGGCGTTCTTGGAGTTTGACCCACGTGGTTGGAGAGTCGCTTAGTTGTTGTCGAGAAAAGTTATCGAGATTCAAAACTACATGAATCAGCCACGACATTAAAATCACTTATAAACGATTAGTTTTAGCCACATTAGCGCCACCTTCTGGTTTACACACTGACATTTTTAGGCCTTAAGTTTGACATTTACACATTCAGGTTTATCATCTGTTTCTCTCTGCACGAGACGATAATTTACAAAACGAACATTATTCAGCGCTCAAAAAGTCTTAAAACTAAAGAATGATACCATCAACCTGTTCAGAAAATGTTTCCTGAAGTAGCTGACCAAGAAAGAAGGATTTGTTTCCTCGTTCACTTCTATACAGTTAAAACCGATTTGCAACCAGATGAGTCGCCCCCTGCTGGCCAACAGAGAGAATGCATGTTTAAGACACCTGTTTGTTTTGACAAAACTTTAAACCTCAATCAGAGTTAGTGCAGATAAGGACTCTTGTAAAAGGTTTAACGCATCATGTGACTCTTCTTCTGCACCAAATGGACCAATCACGTGCCGCCTGCTTTAGTCAGAGGAACAGGTTGTTATGACGGAGATTTGTGAGGAATCTAAAAGTGTTTTACCGTAAAAACAAAGCAACGCTGATACGGCAAATGATGCAGGAGAGACAGAAACCTGTTGAGTGTGTATAACAGCTTCATTCATCAGAGCTCTGAAACTTTACACTTCACTCGTTTAAACATCAACATTTAGCTGCGACGCCGTCCCAACAAGAAGGAAATCACTTTAGCTTTTAGCCATATTAAAGCAAAATGAATGCCACTGATTGGATATTCTGTGTGATAAATGTAAACAGACTTGTCACTTTTTGGATTTGTGTTCGACTGAGGAGCAAATCAGGACCAAACATAATGACTGATTCATACGTCTTCTTTGCCTTCAGTCATCCTGCTGGATGAGCAACGTACAAATCAGCAGGTTTCAGAACGATCAGAAGCAGAGCTGATGGAAGTCGGATGCTTCTTGAAAAACTCATCAAAGTCTGAAGTACAATCTGCTGGACTGTTAGAAACGAGGCTTTCGTTTAGGTGTCAAAGTAGCATCAACGTCAGGATCTGAGGTTTCCCTGCAGAACATTCAGACATAAGGAGATGATGAGCATCTGTTTTAATGTTGTGGCTGATGGCTGTTGGTTCGTGTTTCTGTGCTGCAGGTTCTTGTTCATAACTGACACCCACTTGCACCAATATTGATAAATGTGTGCTAAAGATAAATGTTCCCGTAGCATCCTCCTTTAACCTCTGCTGTTCATGCTTTGCTCCAGTTAGTCTGTGAACTCCTGCAGTATTTAATGATAAGAATAGACGTGAATAATGAATGTTTGCTGCAGGCGGCTGGAGGAGGAAACGGCGGCTTTACCTTCTCGTAGTACTTGACTTCGTACTCGGTGCGGCTGCTGTTGGGGTACGACGGCTCCCTCCACACCAGCGTGATGCTCTTCTGCTCGATCTTCTCGGCTCGCAGCTCGCTGATCAGAGACGGAGCTGCAGGAGGAGAAAGAAAGAAAGCTGAGTCCGGGAAAACGCTGTCTCGTTCAATACGAGTCTTCTCAAGGACGACGGGATCGGTCTCGAGTGTTTCTGGTTTCCGCACAAAGCCGACAGGTCAAAGAGGAAACTCAGCGAATCCTGCCAGAAACCAGCCGCAGACGGACTGTTTGTTCACAGAATATAACACTCCAGCCTCAGATAGAGGAGAAACAAATAGTGGTTTTAAAAGGACTCACGGGATAAAGCAACGCTGATGCAACAGAAACATGTGCAAAGTTTCACTTCATGTGCAAAATGTAATGATTTCACGTTTTCATTTCTCAGGTGCAAAATGTATAACTGCCAGCATCATGTTTCAGTGCTCTATTCTGGCCTTATTTTAATTTATTTAGTATATTTCAGTATCGTATCTGACTTTTATCTTTTAGGAGATGCATTTCTTAGGTTAAGTCTTTTTGGGTTTTTTTTTCTGACCAATATCTGGCACAAGAATTTGATTCAGGAGGTTTTATTTTATCTTATCTTCAGGAAAAAAGAGAAAACAGAAGCACATTCACACAGACTCAGTGCTGAAACTGCAGGAAAATACTAAACACTGACTAGGGAGGGTGGAAGATTTATGCAATTACTACATTTTACAGTTGAACAGTTTGGTGTTACTCTGCAGGAATCTGGTTTCACTTTGACATGAAAGAGTCTGTTTTGGAAACTCTCTCATATCCACACAACCTCCACGCTGTAGTTGTGACTAAAGGTGTATCTACTAAATCAATTTATGCAATTACTTGTGTTTGTTTTCCATATTTTTTTAATTAAATGACGTCACGTTGCAGGAATCTGGTTTCACTTTGATGTGAAAGAGTCTTTTTTTTGTAAATTACTTGAACATGATTCAATGTAGAGAAGCAATACGAGGGGAGAAGCTGGTGGAGGCGTAAATATTTTATACGATCTTTCCTTGAAAAGAGAAAGACGGAGCGAGGACAGAAGCAGGTAGAAGAGCGCTAACGGATTAATAATTGAAGCTGAGACACTGAAAACTCCCACGAGTGGACAAACGCTGCACAGATCTCTGCTTGTGTGAGTGGGACTGAACAGAGTCGGTACACGAGGACTGACAATAGATCGATACAGATTACAGATCGAGTGACACGTCGGCATCGAGCTGACGGAGGCGCACTCGATGTGAACTCTCTATTTCTTCTCAATTAAAACCGACAACTTTTTTCTGACTCAATCGCGGTGAAATCCGGACGTCTTCCGTCATCGATCGCAACAAAATAGTTTGAAAAATGTAAAAGAAAAAGATCCGTGCAAAGCCTTACTGACGGAACAACCCGACCAATGA